AGGCTGGCCTGGAATTTTTGATCTTCCTGCCTCAGTCTCCCAATTAGCTGGGATTTCAGACATTACCACCAGGTGTGGCTGTGCCTCACATTTGATCATGACAAACATGTACACTATCTCGAATAGAAAAGTCACATAGAATATAAAAGCTTCCTGTTTTCACACAAGTTAAAATCATTCAGGTAATCTCCGCTTCTCTATTTCAGAATTAAAATATCTATCCATCCCTCCCCTACCAATACACAGGAAAGATTTTTAAAAAATAAAATAATAAGGATGGGGGGATGGAGCTCAGTGATAGACTTCTTGCCTAGCACACATGAAGTCCTGAGTGTGATCCCCAGCACTGCAAAACAATGGAGAAATAAAAATAAAATGGAAGCCAGGCACAGGGTGCATGCCTGTAATCCCCGCAGCTCAGGAGGCTGAGGCAGGAGGATCGTGAGTTCAAAGCCAGCCTCAGCTACTTAACAAGGCCCTAAGCAACTCAGTGAGACACTAAATAAAATATTTCAAAAGGGCTGGGGATGTGGATCAGTGGTTAAGCACCTCTGGGTTCAATCCTCGATACCCTCCCCCTAAAAAAGGAAAGAAAAATTAATTACACAGAATCTCCCAGAAACAATTTTGGGTCTCCAGTGAAATAAAAATCACACTGTTAAAAAATCTAAAAACTAACAGACATCTGAGAAATACTTCTAATATGATAGAGACCTTAAAGTAAAAGGAACTACAGAGGAAATTTGTTACTCAGGAAGAAGAAACATCAAGAAATTATCATTAATATCCTCATAACTATAAAATGCTACTCCACAAACAGGAATAAAATCCCACAAAGAAAAAAAAAACTATCAGGAGTTAAAAATATAATGGAAGAAACTTTATATTCAATGAAAAGCTGGAAGAAAAAAAAATGTGAATCTTCTAAAAAGTAAATGGGAGAAAAAAGAAAGGGAGTCTAAGAACCAGTTTTCTATGGTCCACAATCAAAATAATAGTGAGTCTAGAAATATTAACAGAGAAGATTGGGAAGAAGGGGAGGGGAGGGAAAATTAAAATCAAAATCAAGAAAATGTCATAGAATTTAAGGCATGGATTTCCAGAATGAAATATGCCCAACAAAAATGGATAAAAATAGACCTACACCAAAGCAACATTTTTAGAAATTTCAGAACAGAAGGGACAAAAAGCATGATACAAACTTCCAGACAAAAATTGGGTTTTATAACTGAGCTATATCCCCAGCCCGCTATTTTGTATTTTATTTAGAGACAGGGTCTCACTGAGTTGCTTAGCGCCTCAAGGTTGCTGAGACTAGCTTTAAACTTGCGATCTTCTTGCCTCAGACTCCCCAGCCTCTGGAATTACAGGTGAACACCACCATGCCCAACTTGGGTTTTAAGAGTCTTAACCCAATCAGTGTATTAATTCCTGATGGGATTAATCAAAGTGGAAAGGGTATGGCTAAAGGGTATATATTTTGTATCTGGAAAGCGGTGATCTGCTTCTTGATCACCATAATGTGAGCTGCTTCCCTCCACACCCTAATCTGCCATGATGTTCAGCCTCACCTCAAGTCCTGAGAAATGGAGCAAGCCTTCTATGGACTAAGACTAAACCATAAGCCCTCAAATAAACTTTTCCTCCTCTAAAATTGTTCTAGTCAGATCCTTTAGTCACAGCAGCAAAAAAGCTGACTAAAACCCTTCTCAACAGCAATTCTAGAAATCACAAGACATTAGATAATGTCTTTAAAATCCTTAAAATAATCATTTCCTATAATTTTGTACCTAGCAGAAATATTAATCCAGGAGCAGGTTAGAACAGAGATCTTCAATTATGTAAGATCTAAAAAAAATTACTTCCCATGCACGCTTTTCCAGAAAGCTACTAGAGAATATGTTCTACCAAAATAAGGAATAAAATAAGAGAGAGAGAGACATGGGATACAGGAAACCAAAAGAGAAGACAAAGAAAATAAGTGAAGATTCCATGATATCTATATACACCAGGAACATACCAATCCTCCAATCAGAATGCTCCAGGATAGACTTCTTTAGGAATTTAAAATTGCTAAATGTTTGAGCATCTTGAGAGAAGATTTAGACAACTGATGTAGAGTCTGAGGTCAGATCAATCGTAAATACATAAACAAACAAAATAAAGACGACTAATAAATACAAGGAAAACGAGAAGTTGATCAGGAAAAGAAATCACGGTTTATTATATGAATAGGTTCTGGTTAGCATTTACATAGAAATAGTCAAACTATATTGAGAAGTGGGAAGACAGAACTAACGTGTGTGTAACAGAGGCAGATACATGAACCTAAATCCTCACCCTCTAAAACAGAAAAATCAGTAGAAAAGACCTAAATTGGTAAAACAAACAAACAAAAAAAAGCAATACAATTGTGTTATTTAAAAATATGAACATACATTTTGAAAATGTATTTACATTTTGCATTTGAAAGTGGTTGGTTATCTGAACTGGGTGTGGTGGCACATATCTGTAATCCCAGGGGTTTGGGAGGCTGAGGCAGGATGATTGCTAATTCAAAGCCAGCCTCAACAACATAGTGAGGCCCTTAGGAACTTAGCAAGACCCTGTCTCAAAATAAAAAATAAGAGCTAGGGATGTGGCTCATCCCTCGGTTCAATCCCCAGTATCGAAAAAGAAAAAAAAGTGATTTTCTTTAGAGAAGGAAAAATAGGGATGCGATCAGGAGAATGATCCTTTTCACAGAAGAACTGACTCATCAAAATCTTAAAGTCTATGAACTAAGATAAACTCATAATTTAAAAAAAAATTAAAAAGAAAAAGCTCCAACCTTTTTTTAATGCCAATTTTATCTGCATTCTTCAATTTTTAAAAATATTTTTGCTTACCTTTAACAGTATTATTTACAATAACCCACTAAGGAATTGTTTTCAAACCCCATTTTTTTAAAGCACTTTTAAAAATTCTAAGCCAACATACAGAGACAAACATAAACCATGCCCTAGATTCTTCATTTGGCTGATTTGTTTAAATGTTTACATTAACATCTATATTTGGAACAACTGTGGCTTATAATAAAGAAAACATAGCTGTGTTTATCATGCCAGCTCTGGGTAACTTTACTCAAGATTTTGACAAAAATGATCCCCAAAGTAATATAAATTTAGACACTTTTAAAAGTCTGAGCATGAAATTAAATAAAAAGATTTCAGTTTGAAGTCAATATTAAAAAAGTTGAACAAATTCTACGAATCATAAATACTATTTTCATCTTAAGTTCACTGTATTTTCTGTGACAGGTAATCAACTTAGTTTTCTTTGATATTGGTATTTATAATCATTTTTAACATGGTTTATATCTTCTAAGTTTGTACCTATCCTGAATATCTTAATTATAATTAAAAATATAAATCCAAAAGTGACAGCTCTTCCTTAAGAATAATTCCAATTATTAAATGTAGAAGAAATAAGTGAAATAGAAAAGCACTGTTAGAACACCACAGTAGTAACTGCCACAAGCAAGATCTGCCAATGGATAGTAAAAGAAGTAGGCAAAAGTTTACGCAGACACAGGACATTTGCATAGTCTGAAGTATCTCTAGCAAATATTTAGTAATTACAAAGAAAAATATAGTATACAGTAGGGAATTCTAGCAGACATCACCTTAGCATAGTGATTGAAGTTAACACCACCAGAAATACATTACATCAGGTATCCTGTTAATGTACATTGTCACAGACTGGAAGACACTATGGAGACATGACAATTAAATGCAAGATGGGATCCTGGAATCAATCCTAGAACAATAAAGGGGCATTAGTAAAAAGACTAATAAAAGTTACTTTTAACTCTCTATTTAATACCATGTAGCAAGGTTAATTTCTTAATTTTGACAAATGTTCTATGGTTTTTTAAGATGTCAACATAAGAAGAAGGTGGGTGAAGAGTATACAGGACCTGTAGTATTTTTACAACTCTTCTGTAGTCTAAAATCCCATCTCAAAAGTTTAAAAAAAATAACTTGAAAAGATACACATGCGTATGTGTATATTTGTGCATAATGTATGTATGTATGTGTGTGTGTGTGTGTGTGTGTGTATGTAAAAATCAAGACTTTTTGGAAATTGTCATCTTGGGCACTCAGTAAATTAAATAGCAATAGCAAAGTTCCCTTTTGAATTAGTCACTGTACCGTTGGTAACTTGGCTTTAAGTTTCTCCACTTTCTAAAGTCTTAAGTATAATTTTCTAATTTTTACAAAAAAAGTCTGTTTTAAAACATTCCTGTATTAGGCCAAATATAAAAATCCTAGGATATAATTATCATCATATTATCCTGTAGAATCACTCATCCCAATCATAAGCTCCAGCCAATATTCAATATTTTTACTACATTTCATATCATCATTTAACATGTTTTTATTAGTTTACTTAGTTATGAATAGAGGAGTTGGCTGACAGATTTAGTATCATTAATAGGCTGGGCAGTCTAGGAAAAATATTATCACTTGGATCTCTTAAGAAACAGCTGGGGATGTAGTTCATTGGTAGAGCACTTATCTAGCATGTGCAAGGCCCTACACCCCCTAACACCCACCAAAAAAAAAAAAAAAAAAAAGAAAGAAAAAGCTATTTTCCTAAAAGCACATATAGTATACTAGAACTCAGATGTAAAAGTTATTTACCTAAATCTCTTCTATACAATAGCACATAGGTACCCAAACAAGGCCAGTTGAGACCCTTTCCATATGCTTTCTCTTAAATTGGGCTCTAAAATCAGTTAATAGTTACATCTTTTATGAAACAAACAAACAAAAATCTATGAAATTTATCTAAGAAACAAAAGAAGAAAATAATTTCCCACTCTATACATGATTTACTCCCTGAGCATCTCCTTTTCCCATCATTATTTTTAAATATAAATTGAGCTGAAATCTACCCACAGGGATCTTATATAGCGAAACTGATAGCTTAGATGGAAAACAATATTTCAAAGGGCCTTGTGTCAAATAATCATATTTATTACTTTTTGGAGTCATTATTTATATTCATTATGGCATTGATTTTTCATCTTTATCTATCACAGGTTTTCTGTAGAAGCAGCAATAGTAAAAAGATAATTATACTTTGTTTTTTTTTAAAGTAATTTTAAGTGGATCTTTATCCAAATACAATAAAAAAGAAAAATGTCCATAAACATTTAATTCTTGTATCAATGTCATTTCCAAATTCACCTTCCACTACTACTATGAAAAGTAGAAGTGTTAAGAACTCTAACTAAACGTGCTATACAAAAAAGGATGACAATTTACCTCAAGAATTCACTACACATTGCAATATATTCAAGTGATGAAAAGACATAAATCCATTCAGAATTGCCATATTATCTGGCTGTCAATATAGTCTTTTGAATAATTATATTAAACATATTACTACAAAACGTACCAAGAAGTAGAGAATAATACTATATTCGTGAACTGCAAATAATAAAACAGAAGTCCAAGAAGGCTAAAGTCTAAGCTGTAATTTACAATGAAGTGTCTACACTGAAACAGTCACAATGTACAAAAATGTTGACAAGTAATCCAGATGTTTACAAAAACAGATTCTGTTTGTCTCAGATTATATCCAGTTTCATCTGGTAGGTTTCTGATAGCCTGTTACATGAAATGTATTTCTCTCCTGCTGATAAGAAGCAGCTTAAAAATGTCCCCAAATTTCTTAAGAAGTGAGTCTACTTGGCAATATTAGTAATTCCAGTTTTCTATTACATTCATTCGTCTGAGAACTGAAAAATCTCGTAACTAAAGTGTTCTTCCATTCCTTTACCAACTTTTCAAGTTTTAAATTAAATCAAAGGAAATTTGGAATGTATTGCTTCTTGTCATCAACAGGCATTTCAAAAAGACAGTAACTAACCAAAATCAAGAGTTCTTTGGCCAAGTTATTAACAGGCTTCCACTTTGTTCTAAATCCTTTCATAATCCTTTTTTTTCTAATTTTTCCAGTATGGCCTGGATCTTACAAACAGCCTCTTTCCTGGCCTGCCGGACAGAGTCCTGGCCCCCAGTTTCAACAGAATCCAGTTCCAAAAGTTCCTTTGTTAGCATTTCTTCCAGAAGCCAGTATGCTTTGTCTGTCTTTTTTCCTACAAACTCTTCTACTTCTTGCTCAAGATACTGGACCTTCTCCAATACATGTATGATTTTTTTAATACTTGGAGGAGTACCTTCATCTGAAGATAAACATTCTTCAGGAAGATTATTACTCTGATCTTGATTACCAGGATGCTCATTGGTGGCATTACCATACAGTTGAGGCTCAGCACTATATTGGACTTGGGAATCCAAAAGGTCTGAATTATCATTGTTCATTGTCCCGGAGGATTCATACTGATGGACACTGCAAGGAAAGTTGTGCCGGTTCATGCCTTGATCTTGGCTATAGGGGTATGAGGAATCCTTAGGATGGGAGAATAAAAAGAGGAAAAAAGCTATTTTAATAAGAATCCATCAATGGTACAATTTTGTAGCGCACATCTTTCACCTGACCCAAAAGTACATTAAAAGAATTCCCTCCAATAAAACTGGACCACCCTTTTCAATAATTTGAGAAAAACACCATTTTAAGAAGATAAAAGGGAATGTCCTGTCACATAAAAAGCAAGAGAATTCCTGAATATAACAGAACAACCTTCCCTGAGGCACATTATCATCGTGAACACCTTACAATATATCTTACCACTTCACAATCCATCCAGTGACTTACTAAATAAGAATTAGACAGTTTTTCCCTTTAAAATTTAAAACCTCAAGATCTTAAAAAGGAAGCAGACATAAGCATATAATGTTCAAATCTATGGTTTAATTTAAAAGTATTAAACCATAGAAGCTAATACTATAGGTATTTCACGTCGGTTTTTATCTTCTATCTATAGATTATTTGTGGTTACAAAATGCAGTCTGATTGTATTTAACATTTGGAAAGAATTACAACAAAGAGAAAATGAGCACTTTTATGTCTTTTAAAAATAGGATGTGAGCCTAAAATGTCTTTAAAAAATAAGTCTTTGGAAGGCTAAAACAGCAGGATCAATCTTGGCAACTTAGTAAGGCCCTCAGCAACTATTGAGACCCTGTCTTAAAAAATAAGAAAGGTTGTGGCTCAGTGGTAGGTACTGGCTTCAATTCTTGGCACCGCATATAAATAAATGAATAAAATAAAGGTTCATCAACATCTAAAATTTTTTTTTAAATAAATAATAAAAAAGGCTGGGATGTGGCTCAGTGGTAAAGCACCTCTGGGTTTAATCCCCAGTACAAAATAAATAAATAAAGTCTTTGAGAGTATAAAAGAGAAAAGAGGAAAGAATAGGCTGAAGTAAAGCTACAGGAAGTAGTCACCAAATTTTCATAATTAGTCCCCATTTAACACAGACCAATGGAGAAAAGTTAAATCTTGAGTTGTTTTTTTTTTTAAATTTTTTTTTAGTTATAGATAGACACAAAATACCTTCATTGTATTTGTTTATTTTTATGTGGTGCCAGGGATCAAACCCAGTGCCTCACACATGCTAGGCAAGCACTCACCACTGAGCCCCACAACCTTGGTCCCTTGAGCTTTCTTCATTACCCAGAGAGCAAAAGAAAAACACTTAAGTCTCCTACCTTGGACTGCTGGGGTGGTGGTGAAGGAGGTGGCTGAGGAGAGCCACTGCTAGGCCACGATGAAGTTGATTCAGTCATGTAGAGATTCCCAGGTGGTACTGAGGGCGCAGCTGAAGGCCAGGGGTAGCGGGTGCCTATCCCATAAGCACCAGGAGAAGCAGCCCATGCATCCTCTTGTGGTCGTACAGTTGGTCCTGACTGCTGAACACTACGATTACCATCCCCATAAGGATAATGGGGCAGGGTCATTCCAGGGTTCTAGATTGAGAGGAAAAAATATGCTGGTCATTTCTAAAAAAACTAAAAGTAATGAAAATATTATTGGCAAATTCTAGGAAGCTAGGAACTCTAATTAACTGCCATAATTACTACAGGCCTGAAAAAAACCTGTTCCAGTTATACCGAGGAAAGATTTGGTGATGATCAAACTAGAAAGAATAAGGCCTAAAATTCAATTACTGAAGAATAGTATAAATCTGTCCATAGACACTATAATCAAATGATCCCATGTTATAAGGAAGCACAAATAAAGATATATTAGAAATCCTCTTAAAGTGAACAGAGAAATAAACATGGTATCATTCATAAAATATTTAAAAATATAAATCTAATAGCACACCAAAAAAAGGTTAAAACTAGGAAACTTTTAAACAATTCTCTAAAAATTTATTTTGCCAGGCACAATGGTACACCTAGAATTCCAGCAACTTAGGAAACTGAAGCAAGAGGGTCACAAATTTGAGGACAGCCTCAGCAATTTACCAAAAGCATGTCTCAAAATTAAAAATAAAGCCGGGTGCAGTGGCACACACATGTATTCTCAGCAACTCAGGAGGCTGAGGCAGGAGGATCTCAAGTTTAAAGTCAGCCTCAGCAGATTAGTGAGGCAGTTAGCAACTCCGTGAGATTATGTCTCTAAATTAAAAAAGGGGGGGGGCTCGGTTTGTGGCTCAGTGGTAGAGTGCTCGCCTAGCAGGCATGAGGCACTGGGTTCAATCCTCAGCACCACATAAATGTAAAATAAAGATATTGTAGACACTTCTCAGAAGAGGATATACAATCAATGAACAAATACACGAAAAAATGCTCACCATCCCTAGCAATCAGAGAAATGCAAATTAAAACTACTCTAAGATACCATCTCACTCCAGTAAGAATCGCAGCCATTATGAAGTCAAACAACAAGTGCTGGCGAGGATGGGGGTGGGGGGAAGGTACACTCATACATTGCTGGTGGGACTGCAAATTGGTGCAGCCAATTTGGAAAGCAGTATGGAGATTCCTTGGAAAACTGGGAATGGAACCACTATTTGACCCAGCTATTTCTCTTCTCGGACTATACTCAAAAGACCTAAAAACGGCATACTATAGGGACACAGCCACATCAATGTTTATAGCAGCACAATTCACAATAGCTAGACTGTGGAGCCAACCTAGATGCCCTTCAATGGATGAATGGATAAAAAAATGTGGCATTTATACACAATGGAATATTACTCAGCACTAAAAAAATAACAAGACCATGACATTTGCAGGGAAATGGATGGCATTAGAGCAGATTATGCCAAGTGAAGTTAGCCAATCCCAAAAAAACAAATGTCAAATGTCTTCTCTGATATAAGGGAGGTGACTCGAAATGGGGTAGGGAGGAAGAGCATGAGAAGAAAATTACCTCTAGATAGGGAAGAGAGGAATGGGAATTGCATGGAAGAGGGAAGGAGACCCCTTTCATTAACAGAATACAGGTATTAAGATGTGAAGGAAAAAAAAAAGAAGTGGGTCACATTAGATTGGGTAGAGAGAAGTGATGGGAGGAGGGGGAGGGGGAAATGGAAGGACAACAGAATAAAATAGACATTATTATTGCTGTGGGTATATACGTGACTGCAAGACCAATGTAATTCTACAACCTGTACACTCAGAAAAATGAGAAATTATATCCCATCTGATTCAAATGATGATATGTCAAGATCATTGTACTGTCATGTGTAACTAATTAAAACAAATTTAAAAAAAAAGATACTGTGTCCACCTAAAACTAAAAAATAAATATTTTTAAGTAAATAAAATAAAAAAGGACTGAAGACATGGCTCAGTGGTTGAGCATCCTTGGGTTCAATTCCTGGTACCAAAAAAAATTAATAAGTAAAAAGGGCTGGGGGTGTAGCTCAGTGGTAAAGTACCCCTGGGTTCAATACCAGTACCACCAAAAAAAAAAAAAAAAAAAAAAATTTCTTTCACTTTAAAAATTTTCTGATTATGACATCTTTAAGGTACCTTCAACTATTTATTGAAATAGTTACTACAAGAAAGAAAGGCATCCAATATAAAAGTAGTCCCTGCCTTCACCTCTGGAAAACTTCTGACCATCTTCAGCATTTTCTTAAATAAGCGCTAATATAAATAAACACCCTTCCACTGTTTACAACTCAAGAAGCAAAGACTTTGAAATTTTTCCTACAGAAAACTGCTCACCTGTGAAGCAGGATATCCTGGAACCTGCCCTCTAAGAGGGGGCGCTTCAGTCTGACAGTCCTGTTGGGGATACATCCAACGAGAGGCTGGGGTTGGGCTGTTGCCAGGTGATCGATAAGTGCTTGGAACTTCTGTAGAGTAACTGGTCTGAGAATAGCCAGGTGCATAATAAGCCCCTGAATATGAGGCAGTATTTGCCCCAGGGCCTGGGGGATATGGTGGACCATATGCTCCATTTGTATAAGAATTCAAACTCTGAAAAAAAGCAAAATTGAGAAAAAAGATAAATGGGTAGAAGAGCTGAAGAACTGAAATGCCCTAACTGAATGCCCAATGTAAAAATTTTAGGAAGAAATCAATAACTAATGAAAATACAAACTCCCTAACCAATCTGTAATGTATTTTCTCTCTCTTCTATTAAAATAATATTCCATAGACTGAACTGTAGAGCCCATGTAACAATGGAATGATACATGTATATTGTGATGAGACACGAAGTGATGACCTTAGAGCAATGCTTCTTAAACATTGCCTTAAGTATACCTGACAATTTCATAACAGCAGAGGAGAACTGACTGACTGACTGACTGAGGAGGGAATTGTGGGAAATTTGAGAGAATTCCAGAGAGAGAAGGAAGACCATAATGTAAGAGGAAGAGAGACTATAGAGAAAGACCCAGCTATGCCACAGACTTTATATTTAACTGCTCTTAGTTTCAGTTTCTCCAACAGGAAAAATAAAGACCATAAACTTTTCCTGCAGGGTTAATATGAAAATTAAATGACATGACATAAATTAAGACTTAGTATCTGATACAAAGTATGCTCAATAAATGGAAAATTATTTATCTTATTGTTGTTAGTATTATTATGGCAAGATAAAGAAATAAACCCAATCTGACTTCAAAGTCCATGTTCTTTGGTACCATACCATTACTCTATTACCCAGATAATAACAGATAACAGAGATACATTCCTCATACACTGCTTACTGCCATGGTTTTTGATTTTGTTTGCAGAGCTGGGATTTGAATCTAATGTCATGTGCAAGCACTCTACCACTAAGCTTCATTCCCAGCCTTCCTTAACTGTAGTTTTAAATCACTTATCTAGACTATTACTAGTACCAAGAACCCTCAGTTTATAATTCAAATGAGAGTAAAGCTAAAACCTAAATTTAAATGATCACCTTAATGTTTTCTACTCATTTCTACTTTACCTTTTAAAAAAGTTTTCTCTCAGCAAGAGAAACAATAAAAGAGCTAAATAGGGAGCCTACATCATGGGAACAAATTTTCACTCCTCACACTTCAGATAGAGCCCTAATATCCAGAGTATACAAAGAACTCAAAAAATTAAACAATAAGAAAACAAATAACCCAATCAACAAATGGGTCAAAGACCTGAACAGACACTTCTCAGAGGAGGACATACAATCAATCAACAAGTACATGAAAAAATGCTCACCATCTCTAGCAGTCAGAGAAATGCAAATCAAAACCACCCTAAGATACCATCTCACTCCAGTAAGATTGGCAGCCATTATGAAGTCAAACAACAACAAGTGCTGGAGAGGATGTGGGGAAAAGGGTACTCTTGTACATTGCTGGTGGGACTGCAAACTGGTGCGGCCAATCTGGAAAGCAGTATGGAGATTCCTGGGAAAGCTGGGAATGGAACCACCATTTGACCCAGCTATTGCCCTTCTTGGACTATTCCCTGAAGACCTTAAAAGAGCGTACTACAGGGATACTGCTACATCGATGTTCATAGCAGCACAATTCACAATTGCTAGACTGTGGAACCAACCCAGATGCCCTTCAATAGATAAAAGGATAAAAAAAATGTGGCATTTATACACCATGGAGTATTACGCAGCACTAAAAAATGACAAAATCATAGAATTTGCAGGGAAATGGATGGCACTAGAGCAGATTATGCTTATGAAGCTAGCCAATCCCTAAAAAACAAATACCAAATGTCTTCTTTGATATAATGAGAGCAACTAAGAACAGAGCAGGGAGGAAGAGCAGGAAGAAAAGATTAACATTAAACAGATACATGAGGTGGGATGGAAAGGGAGAGAAAAGGGAAATTGCATGGTAATGGAGGGAGACCCTCATTGTTATACAAAATTACATATAAGAGGTTGTGAGGGGAATGGGAAAATAAACAAGGAGAGAAATGAATTACAGTGGATGGGGTAGAGAGAGAAGATGGGAGGGGAGGGAGGGGGGATAGTAGAGGATAGGAAAGGTAGCAGAATACAACAGTTACTAATAGGGCATTATGTAAAAATGTGGATGTGTAACCGATGTGATTCTTCAATCTGTATTTGGGGTAAAATTGGGAGTTTATAACCAACTTGAATCTAATGTATGAAATATGATATGTCAAGAGCTTTATAATGTTTTGAACAACCAATAAAAAAAATAAATTAAAAAAAAAAAAAAGTAAAAACCCAGAATCAAGTTTTGCTGTGTTCACCTCTGTCTCTAAGACTAAGCATTCTTTCTTTAGGTTTGAGAACAGACAAGGAATTCCAAAGAATTCCTCGCAGGGTCAGGTACAAGGGAAGAGCCAGCAATACATTCCCTGACCAGAAGGGCAATGAACCACCTCTTTGTTAAAGCTACTAAGAAGCTCGTTAAGCTTTCAGTCTAAACAAAGAACTCCTTAATATACCACACAATATACCTGATTGGATAGGTAAATCGAATCAGGTCAGATCAAGTTAGGCCAATTTTGAGTGAGTCCCCAGAAGTTGGAGACTGTCCCAGAAGAATTAAATGTTAATTCCTTTGGAGCCCTTCCTCCACCCTTATCTAGAACCTGCCCCTGCTCCAAACTGTTGCTAAGGTAACCTGTCCCAGGAATTGCCCCTCCCTACAGGGAGCTATAAAGAGTGTCCTGGGCTGTACTATCTGGCCCTTCTCCCTTTCACCACACCTGTTTCCCACCTTTAGGCCCTCCCACCAAGCATGGGGAGGGGTAGTCCTGTAACAGGAAGGAGAAAGATAAGGGGGAAAAGGCAGAAAAACAAAGGAGGCCTAGGACGTATAAAAAGCACAGAACACCTCGCTTCTTGGGATACCAGGATACCAGCTAGGGCCCCCTTCACCTTCCTGGGAGAAGTCTCTGTTACCCTTTTTAAATAAACCCTGCTTTATATGCTTGCCTCAGCATGCTTAACTAATGTTCAAACTTCAGCATTTGAGAGAGCAGAACTTGTCACAGGTAACTGGTGGTATTAGCATTGTGGTTATGTTTTCAAAATGTCCTTGGCTGGGGTTGTGGCTCAGTTGCAAAGCATTTGCCTAGCATGTGTGTGGCATTGGGTTCAACTCTCAGCACCACATATAAAGGTCCACTGACAACTTAAAAAAAAATTTAAAAAGCCCTTGCCAGGTGCTGCGGTGCACACCTATAATCACAGCGACTCAGGAGGCTGAGGCAGGAGGATTCAGAGTTCAAAGCCAGCCTCAGCAAAAATGAAGCGCAAAGAAACTCAGTGAGACCCTGTCTCTAAATAAAATACAAAAAAGGGCTGGGGCTCAGTGGTTGAGTGCCCCTGAATTCGATCCCCAATACCCACCCCAAAAGTCCTTAATATTTTAAATCAACATACTTAAGTTTATTTACAAGTTATACAGTTTGACATCTGGAATTTCTTCAAAGTACTCTAAAGAAATGCTCCAAAGATAAATACATGATAGTCAAGGATTAATAATCAAAGCTGAAAGATGGACACACAGGCATTTTTTTATTCTATTCTTACTACTTTTGTTTGAAAATTACCTTAATATTAAAAAGAGAGGGGTTGGGGTTGTGGCTTAATGGTAGAGCACTTGCCTAGCATGTGTGAGGCACTGGGTTGGATTCTCAGCATCACATATAAATATATAAATAAAATAAAGGTCTATCAACGTCTAAAAATTTTTTTTTAAATATTAAAAAGAATGTTCTTGATATTTCGCCCTATTATTAACATGGCAAGTGCATAGGGCAACTAAAGTGCTAAATTAAAAAGTGTATAATTGGGGCTGGGGATGTGGCTCAAGTGGTAGCGCGCTAGCCTGGCATGCGTGCGGCCTGGGTTCGATCCTCAGCACCACATACAAACAAAGATGTTGTGTCTGCCGAAAACTAAAAATAAATTTAAAAAAAAAAAAGTGTATAATCATTTAAAGCTGTATAAACATGATAGGGAAAAAAAGAAATTTTTCAAAATATGAATATATTAAGATGGCACAAGTAGTATTTTTTATCCTCTCCCTAGTTTCCAATTTTTTTGTTGTTCTTCTTCTTTGTTAAATCCAGGGCCTAATGCTTGGTAGGCATGTGCTTTACCACTGAGGTAGATTCCCAGTCCTTTCCTACTTTTTTTTTTTGTGGTCGTGGGGATTGGACTCAGGAGTGCTCAACCATTGAACCACATCCCCAGCCCTTTTTTGTATTTTATTTAGAGACAGGGTCTGAGTTGATTAGTGGCATCTGGCTCCTTCTTCTTTTTTTTTTTTTTTTAGATTCATTAAATTGCTTACTAAACTGCTGAGGCTGGTCTTAACTTGTGATCCTCCTACCTCAGCCTCCCAAATTGCTGGGATTACAGGCATGAACCATCGTTCCTGGCTTCCAGTCCTTTTTTAAATTTTAGTGTGAGACAGGGTCTTGCTAATTTGCCAAGGCTGGCCTAAAACTTTTCATCCTCCTGCCTCAGCCTGCCAAGGATCTGGATAGGATGGCACACATGTGCCACCATGCCCAGCCCAAAATTTTAATAATAAAGCTACATTACTTTTTAGAGTAAACAAAGTTTACACTTAAAAATATTATATAAAATCTCAGATATGCCTAAAATCCAGTTGGCTGCTACGACCCTAGCTATTTCCTTGATATCCAAGTAGATTATTTTAATGAAGGCAGTCTGTGTCTAAGGACAGCAAGTTTTTTGTTTGTTTTTGTACTGGCACTGAACCCAGAGACATTCACTGAGTTACATTCCCAGAACTTTTCATTTTTAATTTTGAGGCAGGGTCTCACTAAGTTGCTGAGGCTAGCTGCAAACTTGCAATTCTCCTGACTCAGCCTACCTAGTTGCTGGGATTTTAGGCATGTGTCACTCATCCAGCAAGACAACTTTTAATTGGAAACTTGGCAGTTGATATGGTAATATGCAATCTAAAACTGAGCAAATCACAAGAATTAAATAAAATCTTCTTTGATAGTTGCTGCTCCTGACCCAGGGGTCAGTG